TCATCTCTCTTTCGTTTTGCCATGTTTAAAACCTGTGTATGAAAGAGCTTCTGTGCTGCTATTGGTCAACGTCACCAATGTGACAGAACTCATCGTGGACGACGAAAAAAAAATGTCGTGATGTCGTGAAGCATCGCAGACGTGGAATCGTTTGTCGTCCACTATGACACACTACACGTGCTGAAACGATGGAATCTTGCGTCCAGACGCCCATTGTCGTTTACGAATCCCCATGACACACTTCGTCAAGCAAATCGTGGCAAAATCGGGCTAAAATCGTGTAGTCTGGACTGGGCATTAATCGTTCTATCATTCTATCATCTGTCTGTTAATCGTTCTATCATTCTATGATCTGAGAATGAATTATAATACAATTATTTGATATACATGAACAAAATAATGGAAAAATTACGATTATTTAAGATCTGATCTTTTTATTAAATCTTGTTTTTATGTGCTATTCAAATGTTTCAGAATTCTTCTCAGGTAAGACCGAAAGGTGCTGTGTGTTTAAAGGAATTGATTTGATTTGTTAATTATTTTTGCTCAATTTCATTGAGTCACATGAAACTTGGGTAATTTATTCTCAGGGGCAGCATTTGCTCAATACCACTGTCTTAAAAATCGATTGGAATGACTTTCCTGCCGTTTGTTGCTCAACTCGCAGTGTCGTGGATAGGTTAGTCGCTGTTGTGTCTGGGCCCCAGAGTGGAGCTCAGGGCAGAGGGTCTGTGTTTGCTCACTCTGTGGGAGCCCATGAAATCCCTACCCTCTGGAACACAGCCACAGTTGCCCGGCAACAACCTTACACAACAGGAAACAGACTCGGGGATTCCGTCACTGTGCCGAGTCAAAGAAAGCATTCAGTGGAGACAGGAAGCCCCAAGGTACAGCAGGGGGCAGGTCTATAACCAAGGCCATGTCATGTAAATACCACCTCAAATTGTTGTTGCTGTTTCTACTTTATAAGCACTTTATATGTTCATCAGCTTACTTTTAAATGTGGTCTGGATTTTATGTCATGGACTCATAAGGCATATTGTAAAAAGTCTAAAATAACACGTTTGATTGCAATGCCGTTGTGACGCAAAAAAAAAACATGCTTTTCTTGTACTACATTGTCTTCTTCATGTGTTTTCAACCTGCCTAGCATGGTCAAATTTAACCCATGATGCATATTTTCAGTTGCTCATGGAGCCCTAGTCGTCTGAAGTTCAACTTTAGCATCCAAACTGGGTTTTACCTGTTTTATCTGTTAAGGAAAGAGGGGAAAAAACCTGGAACCTTGAGGTCTTTTCCAGAAGACCACCATCAAATCAGCATCATTCCCAGTATACTCACCCACAAATATGATGATGAGACCTGCCAGCCAGACGGAACAGTGACTTGTAAGAAGAGGTGAGTGGACCTATGACATCAGTGACTCCCCTTTTCTGGACCAATCACGGCACAGACAGAGGAACCGTCGGGTGCACATGGCGTTTTGGTTTATTTTAACAACTTTTAAACGCTGACACATCATTAGTGATGCACATGCATATCATGATTCATGCCGTTGTTATGAGTGTGCAGCCTTTTTTTAAACATCTCCGAGACAGACGATTCAACATCTGTGGCATTAGTTATGAACTAATTCATTATTACACCAGGCTCTGTAATACTCTATTCTGATTGGTCAATCACACCATCCAGTGATCTGCTGTTGACCGTCACCATGGCAACTCGATCTCCTCTCATCCATGTAACGGAAACGTATGGAACCTAAAAAATAAAAAAGGTAATAATCCCACAATTATTTTCTTGCAGTTCTGAGAAAAAAGCTAAAACTTATAAAAATATAAATTCACAGTTCTGAGAAGAAAAGTCTTATTGCGAGTTTAAAAAAAAGTTCAAAGTGATTTCAGTCACGCAAAAACTCCACCCCGTAGTCGATTCTAAAGATTTCACTAGTCAAGTCAACCCCTTTCCCAAACTCTATCCTTAACCTTTGACGTGATCTGATCCATCTGGATTTAACCAATGAAGTCTGAACTTTTCTTGATTGGAGACTGCATGAGCTGACCAATGAAATTGGCTGGGGGGTAGGGTTTGCTCCTAGGGTTCTCATTTCACATGCAACTGAAGGTATCTTGAGTCCAAAAAATATAGTGCACTATTTGATGGCATAGCCATTTGTAGCGTTGTCCAAAACCATAGTGGACATTATAGAGTACACTCATTCAGTCCCATAATAACAAGTGTGCAGCCCACACTCGGCTGGTGTCCACTGTCAAGGTCACGCTGAAGTCCTGTGTCTTGGCAGAGGCGGCATCCATATGACCTCAGAGGACTTCAAAATGTATTACTGTGATATTGTTGCAATGTTTGTCTTATTGATTGACATGTTGTTTTATAATATTCATTGCTCCTTAGTAGACGCTTTAAGATAATTTATGGTAACATACAATTATTGGACAACGTTTTACAAGAAAATACTACTTCAAAAAGTCATGTTGCCTTTCTATCATACTTGCCATTTCTTTATAATTATTTGTGAAAGTTCCTAGCAGTTGAAGTGAAAGTTGTTTTGAAGTAAATCCCACACCATTTTTTTCCAGTGTAACATTTTAAAATGAATTCAAAACACAAATCGTTATTTCAAGTCCATGTTTTTGTTTATTTGGTAAGTAACCATGTAATAAGAGGAATTATGTACAGTGCAGTCAGCCCTGATGTCGGTTTAGATCTAAATCTAGTAACAGGCAACAAAAGGTCTTTGTGGGAATACAAAATACACCAGGTTTTTGGCATATACCGTACTGCAAAGCTGAGACGAACAAAATATCCGGAACTGTCCGGCTGGTGCTTAAAAACCCCTGCCCCTCAACAACGGGCAGACAGAGTGGAAAATCTACAGGCCAACTGACGTAGAACTAGGCGCACGTCAATCAGCACCGTTAGCACTATTTATTACCTTCAGCCTGGAAGCTGTGTTTACTGCGGCACGCAGCTCACTTTCACATTGCTGGGGAGGATAGGGAGGCCCTGCCCACATCCCCTCAAGCCCACTTAGGGCCCCTAACCAGTGGGTGAGAGCTTTCCATGAGGTCAAACAAATACATTTGACCCACAGAACAGCAGGAGAGAGAGGACTGTAAGAGAGGGTAATGGCACAATTACCATATTCCCATGATGAAAGAAACAGCTAGTGTTTCATAAATGCACTAATTCCTGATGCAATTATACATCATCCTGTGCGTGTGGGGTGAAGGCTATTTGGCTCTCTTTTGTTGCTCGACCTGGATGAATTCTTAGTGAGGGCAAACACTTCACAGCTACTGTAAAACATGTCATTAGAGAGCTTGCAAAAGGCACATCAAAAAGCCATTTATTTGCCTAATAGGAGGGAAACCGTATGCAATGTGTAAACCTATGTGCACTGAGAGACCATGACACTGTATATGCAGATGCAATTCTTTGTGCAGAGATTGAAAATACAGACTTATTTTGGGTCTGAAAAATGGACTTGCATTAAGTTTAGGGTTACTGGCATGGGAAGGGTGAATTGCATTTTGAAACCTTTCATAGTAATATTAAAAATGCAAATATGCATCACTATTATGATAGTACATGTCACTATTTACAAAGGGGTGCTAATTAAGATGCATGTTTTCAGTAGTAAGAACAAATAATGTTGTGTGGTGCAGTATGGGAATCCTGCACTAATGCAAACATTTGCCAACATTTCTTGGCTTCAACAAATTCAACAAAAGCTGATTCCCGATGACGCAGCGAATCGCGCCCCACTGGAAAGTTGTCAAAACCGAAATCATAGTTGCTCGGGCTGCCAACAGCATCTTGTGATTTTCAGATCCCATTTCCCTGAACTGTGATGTCCTAAAACAACAACCAGAGCTGTTAGTCTGTTTATTAAATCACTATCAATGCACTGCAGTTGCTACGTGACGAGTCTCACAGAGACTGTATTTGTGTCTATTAATGGGACAATAGAAATTATTAACATGATAATGGCTTCTTAAACTGCCTTTGTTTTTCTAAATAGCCACATTTGATTTGTTTCCAGTAGCAGCACATGTGAACACACTGGCTCTTTCGCCTTTTTTTGCGTTTCATTATTGATTGCCTATTTGTGAGTGAATTTTTAATAGGCTCGGTCTGAAAGTTTTGATCAGAATTGGACTGAATCAATTATATCAGACTGAATCGGTAAGAGCAGCTCTGGGGTTAACTGAATCAGTTGGAAGGGAGCTTACATGTCAGACTCGCAGTGATTCGGGTTAGTATTCGGTTAGTACCGACTCATTAAACTGCAGCCGTCTCCTTCGATGGTTGACTCGTAACGACCTGAGAACCAAACCTGAGAAAAACTGACGAGGTGAAAAGTAAGTTTAATAACAGAAATTTTGACACAACTTAAATGTACGACAACTTAATAACTAAACATAATGGTTTTCATTAGCTAAAACGTGCAAAAATTATTCAGCTAAAATATTTTAGTAGAAGGCTATTAATTGATTGTAAATGCGATTTTTTTATTTATTAGCTGAATCGTGGCTGCAACTGGGACATGTGAAATTACAATAAACATATTCTTAAATAGCTTAATGACACACACAGACACACACACACACACACACATCATAAATATAGTTGTCTATGACTATTGGAACGTTTTAGAGTGTAATAGGCCTATTCAGACAACCGCTGAATCATTTGAACCGGCTCTTGAATACAAACTGTTCAAAAGAACCGATTCGCAAAAATGAGTTGGACTTCCCTTCTCTAGCAGATGCGCATGCGCACACGCCGGCTCATTTGCCTCGGGTTTCAACGGCTGCACATCTGGAAATGTTGAGAGAAGAGAATCCCTCTCTTCATCTGCTGTCGAGCTTTGAGACGTGGTGCCTGCGTCATCCATTGAGAGGCGGGGCTTCACGGAGGTGTTTCCCGGCTTTATATAGATACAGAGACCTTTCAATCGCAAAGCAGTGCGTCACCAGAACCCCTGGAAACTAACATGCAAGTCCAGAATAGAACAAATAACGAGTTAGACAAACTGTATTAAAATAATAGTCATACATTTTTGCGTTGTTATTGCATGCGCTTTTAAGTGTTGTATACTGAATCATCCGAGCTTTCAAATCATTTATACAGTTCTCTCGTGACTGGAATACACCTTTATTGCGGTAGAAGTGAACACTTTTATCACAGATATCTGGACTCGTCTTTACATTGGGAAATAAAACGCTCATCGGACACTTTCGTGCGTTTTGGGAAAGTGCGTTGAACTTGCTGTGAGTTCACGCTACACTTCGCAAGCATGAAATCCGCAGAGGAAGGTAACGTATTACGAAGATTAAATGCATCCACTCACACTGTGTCATATTTCACGTTAATGTGTTTCTGTATTATTATTTTAATATAAGTATTATTGGATTTAGTAATACAGATTCAAGCACGTTTGCGAATTTACCTGCCGTGGTGATAAAATAAATCAATAACTGCTATTATGCACGCACTTATGCTATATCTATTACTAAGGGAGACCGGGGAGTGTTGTACCACATTTGGTTTTAACTTCTCTAACTCAAATGTGTACCATGTGTCTCAAACTTTGACGTAGCGTTCCCATGTTTGTCTGCTACAGATTTAAGTGATTTATAAATCTGCAGCATGTTCCTAAACTGTGTAAATTAATGTCAGGTACAAAGACTGCTTTTGTAATCTACCCCACTAACGAGGTGAGTTGTGACAGTTGGAGGGCTTGGTAACACTTTATAGAAAATATGGTCATCTTAATTTCTCTGCGTGGATTTACTGTGCCGCAATTTTTTTTAATTATAAAAATAATTATAGTATATCTGATCACCACCACAATCCAATAATATATTATATTTATAGCCAAATAAATAAGTTAGTGTTTTCTTTCTGTGTCCATTATAGATAGGTAAGTTGTGTTACAACCCTCCCCATATGATAGTGAGTTCACCCCAGTAGCTAATTTCTGATTGGTTATTGGTGGTGTTACAGCTTGCCCTGCTCTACTGCTCTGTTGTTAATGTTTATTCATTCTTTTTTATTTCTGGTCTAGTGGAATTCATGTTATTTCTTATTGAATCAATGGGCTGAATGGGTTTTTCTCAGTTTAAGAGACTGCAGAGGGGAGTGGTGGACGTGACGAAAGATGAATAAGCAGGGAATTTAGATTGTGGGTTTTTGCATCCCTTTCTTTGCAGCAACTGTGCATTTCACAAGATAACTTAGATTATAGTTCATAATGACAGCTCTACTAAACAAAACAAGTTCTCAGATTTTCTGCTGAGAAAAGTAACAAACCTGCCTGAAGATGGTTTCCTGGTCTTTACTGGTTTAAGATGGTCTCTTTAGCTGGTCTCCTAACTTGACCTGATGAAATGTGCCCAAAAGCCTTTTAAATCCAACCAGCAGACCAGCATAATCATGCTGAGAGACCAGCAAACCTGCTTAGGCTGATTTAAGGTGTTTTATTTCACCGAGGTTGCTAATATAATTTTAATAATCAGTAATTTAGTACTTTTATTTGTTTTTTTAAGCTATCAGAACACTATAGTGTATACTTACGGCTTGCTTACAAAAATCTAATATGTAGTTGTTAACTTGATTCAAAACGATACATACATTAGAGATACATTAGCATGCTATCAGTATCCAGGGTGCTTTGTTGCGCTGTGGTCACATTTTCAAGTATCTGTGTTTTTAATCGTCCTCTAAAGTAGCGAGAAATCGTTGCAAATGTTATTGCAAGCAGTGCCAGTAGTGACTGTGCGCCAGTTTGGGCTAACTTACATTAAATATAATTCCACCAGGTTGGACTGACTGACTACAGTGACTCACTCAACTCAACTGTGTTTTTTTCCCCTTTTTGCACCGATTACTTATTAAAAGAATATATTTCTGTTAAATATATATAGCTGTATAGACAACTTTGATAGGCCAGACAGATGATGTATTACTAAATATTCTAAAAGATTTTAGATAAGCTACAAGTTTTCTAAAATGCTAAAGTGGTCAATGAATCATCTCTAGGAAGCTCTAACCATTATGTTTTGGAATATTTAAAACATTTTCTGGACAAGACATTTTGTGTTAGTCATCTTGTATAGGCCTGTACATTGCATAGATGCAAATGTTTGCCCCTGTTTTTCGACAGAGATTGCTTATGAGTATTGGTTTTCCGTCTGGTTTTGTGCTCAGGAAGATATTTTTAACACTTTGTTATTTTTGGCCTGGTATTTGTGTGTCACTCACCTTGCTTCCCCTGCAGAGGTTGTGGCTTTTTACCACTAATGTTTTTGACTCACAGCTATTACTTATGAGGAATAGAGTGTCATTTGTTAATGCCCTTTTTATACCAAATGGCTGTTCTTAAAAAAAAATAGAAAGTTTATTAGATGTGGCTGTTTGCAAAAGCAACAGTTTTCTTACAATACTCTATGCACAAGAAATATCTTTTGCATCTATACTCTTTGATCTCAATAGCTTATTTTTAGTTGCAGCACCTCATGAAAATGTGATTGCACCTTACAGATGCATACGGTTACAGCCAAAACACCAGCATCTCATTACCTCTGAGCAACCCCTGCCCACCCTCCCAGTACCACAATCTCCAGTCCAGCCCTTCCTTGTCGATATCCATCAGTCAGCCGTCCTCGTTCTCCCCTCAAGATGACATGAGCTCAGTGGGTTACTTCCAAACATCCGGCACCCGGTCCAACGGGGCTCCCACGCTGGAGAGTCCACGCATTGAGATAACAGCTTACGGGCAGTTCCCCGAGGATGAAGTGGAGGAGAACAGCGTTCCCGTGGCCAAGCGAGTCAATTCCATAGTGACATTAACTTTGCCAAGCATTGACAGTTATCGTGACCCCACCTGCCTAAGCCCGGCAAGCAGCGTGTCTTCCCGTAGCTGCCATTCAGATGCGTCATCGTACGAATCAGGCTTTTCGTACAACTATGACAACTCGCCACAGAACTCGCCCTGGCAGTCTCCCTGTGTCTCCCCGAAAGGTTCCTCATCTCTGCAGTCCTGCACCCTCGGCGCTTCTCCACGTCATTCTCCGTCCGGTTCTCCCCGTACCAGTATCACCGACGACAGCTGGGTGGGCACCCGAGGCTCACGACCGAATTCTCCTTGTGGCGGTAAACGGAAGTACAGCTTCAACGGTGGCCCATCACACAAGTACCATCCGTACTCACCGAATCAATCCCCGGGGCTGTCGCCACAAACTTCGCCCCGTCTTAGCGTGACGGAGGACACCTGGCTGCCCAACACCAACCAGTACACCAACTCCGCCATTGTCGCCGCCATTAATGCCCTCACCACAGATGGATTAACAGATCTTGGGGAGGGGATCCCTTTGAAGTCCCGCAAGACCAGTCTGGAGCACAGCGCCTCGATGAACCTGAAAGTAGAACCAGGTGGAGAGGAGACAGGATCCCTGGAGCTTTGCCAGGAGGACTTCTCCTCAGCACGCCTGCCCTTCAAAAAAGAGACCTACTGCAGTGGCTTCTTGGATGTGCCCCAACACCCATATTGGTCCAAGCCGAAGCCTTACATCAGGTTGGTAGCATATAAGAATTTCTTTCATATTGCAAGTAGTTCAGTCATTTATCTGTGCTAACCAAAGTTCTCTCTTTCTCCTTGCCTCGTTATTGGACCCTCTCACTCTTATTCTCGAAGTCCATCGCTGCCTGCTCTCGATTGGCAGTTGCCTTCCAGTTCAGGGCCGTACCGCCTACAGATTGATGTCCAACCCAAGTCCCATCACCGTGCTCACTACGAGACTGAAGGCAGCAGAGGGGCTGTAAAAGCATTAGCGGGAGGGCATCCAGTGGTCCAGGTATAAATTCATAATCTCTCAGAAGAATAGTTCACCTAAAAATGAAAAGTCTGTCATCATTTATTTACCGTTATGTTCTTCTAGACCTGAATGACTTTCTTCTGTGGAATTCTGCTTTTGTCCATAATATGAAAGTCAGTGGGGTCCAAAACAACACTGGACAGCAATGACTTTAAATAATGTGTTTTTTTAACTTTAAACCGCATAAACACATTTCATTACACCAAATACACCAAATAATGTTCTTTTTAGCAGCATCATATGACCCCTTTAATAACTGCATTTTGCACCATCCTGCGAATTTTTACTGACAGATAAAAAGGGATATCTGGGAGCAGGTAAGAGTAAACATTATTAATTTAAGTGTACTACCAACATTGTAACACAATACAAAACTAGTTGAAAATTAGTGTACAAGTATAGAGAAAAATTATAAATATGGAGGATAAATTTTAACTAGGATGATGTAGTAAATGGTTAGTTAGATTGCAATATAAGTCCTCTAGGTTGCTATTTGCATTGTGTAATATACACTACAGCTCAAAATTTGGGGTCATTAGGATTTTTTTTTTTGTATTGTTTTTGAAGGTAGTCTCTTATGCTTACCAAGGCTGCATTTATTTGATCAAAAACACAGTAATATCACACATATTTAGAAATATTATTACAATTTAAACATACTGTATTCTATTTGAATATATTTTAAAATGTAATTTATTCCTGTGATGGTAAAGCTGAATTTTCAGCCGCACTAGTTTTGTATTTTTTAGGATTCTTTACTGAATACAAGTTCAAAGGAACAGCATTTTTATTTGAAATAGAAAAAAAAATCTTACCCTAAACATTTAAATAGTAGTGTATATACACTTTAATATTATAGCTATCATTCATTTGGGAGATTTTCACAGAATGTCTTATTTTTAACCATTTTTAGTCAACATCCTGCAACATCCTCTCCATGATGTGCCATGGTGGTATATATTCATTCTCATTGTTTTTGTTTTTGTTGACGTAAGGGAACTTCCTTATATTTGTTTTCTCTCAAGTCATAGTTACACACTGTGATTTAAATGCTTATATTGTTCGTTTTACTGCCATGTCCAAGTTCAGGAAGCTTGAGAGAAGTACTTCTGAATCATGGGTATTCACTGCACGAGTTGGTTGCAGATGCTCCCTAATGGATAACAGAATTCCTAAAGACAGGAGTCGTGGTTTTATCTAAAAAAAAAAACCCGCTTTATTTACTTAAATCGCCGTTAAAGGTGAACTCAACATTTTGGAGTACATCTGTGGCTGCTGGGTACTTGGACTCAAAATAATGAGGTGCTAATGATTGTGAACACGTGGCTCAGTGCGTCTCCCATCTGAAAAAACAAGGTCCTCTCACCCTCGTGTTTTATTTTTTTCAAATTCATTGCCGTTTCCGGCCTAGTGCACAGACTGCCTTTTGTTTAGCTGAAGGTCCTTGTACTGCACTGACATCATGTGCAACAGCATCGTGTGGAGGCGTCCAGTCTCCGCTGCACACAGTCCTGGCAGGCAAGTAAAGGGGAGTGTTCGAAGGAGCCTCAAACAAGCTTGTCCCATTCTGTAAACCATCAGATTAGAGAGCGCTCTCAGCTGCACATGTTCTTCTTTTAGTGTACGGCACCTCCCTTCATGCTCTGTCACCACTGATGTCCTCCTCTGAGGATCTCAGTTAATGTGCAAGTTATTTTGTGACCTTTAGCGGAGTTGTTAAAAGCACTTTGGCAGTCATTTTTGGGTGGTATCGAAGCATTTCAATTAAAGTTCTACTTTCGCAAACCAAATAGACTTGTGGCCACTATAATTTTAATGAATTAGCTGTATTTTCAGTATTTTAAGCACCTACTTTATGTATTCCCATAACTATGTGAGTCACTACAGCCTCAGAGTTAGACTTAGACCACCCCCTCCCCCCCTTATGTCTCTCCACTTGGGGTTTGGTGGTTTTCGGTGGTCAGGATTTCTGTACCCAGGCTGCTAGAGCCCCGTCTCTCTTTTTCTCTCTCCCCCTGCTCGGGTTCCTGGTGGTTTCTGTCAGATTTTTTGTATCCTGGATGCAGTTTGACCACATGCGCCATCGGATTGACGGTAGACGTGAGTGTGTAGCCTCTGAAGTAAGCCTGCCGCACCACAGCTATGTGCTTCCACGTCTGTGCTTAAGTCTCTTGGGAAGCTAACGTCTCAAAGAACAGCTCTGTCAACAAAAATCACCGCCGTAACTGGAAGAAGTGATGAAATCCCTAAATATAGGTTTGGTTTGTACGAGCAGTGCTTCCACATTTACAATATTCAGACTGGTTTTATCTCATAGGCCTACTGTGACTGGGATGATCTTTATTACTTTTTTATTGAGTACTGCTATTAGAGTTTTTGTTTGGTTGAGGATTTTAGGACTTATTTTATCATCGTAATGTGTCTCATTTACTAATAACTGCATACTCAAGCGTTCTTACTTAAGTGCACAAAAAGGCATAGAAATTTGTGACCCTGGACCACAAAACCAGTCATAAGGGTCAGTTTTTTGAAATTGAGGTTTATACATCATCCGAAAGCTGAATAAATAAGCTTTCCAATGATGTATGGTTTGTGATGATATGACAATATTTGGCCGAGATACAACTATTTGAAAATCTGGAATCTGAGGCCCTGTCCACACGAACGCGGTTATTTTTAAAACCGCAGCTTTTTCTACGCAGTTAGGCCGTTCGTCCACACATAAACGCAGCACCAGTTCACTGAAACCGAACATTTTTGAAAATGCCTGCCAGGGTGAAGATTTTCAAAAACTCCGGTTGCAGTGTTATCGTGTAGACAGCGAAACCGGAGTTTTTGGCTTGTGACGTCGGCGCCTGCGCTGTTATCTCCGCCTACTGGAGACTTTTTCAGGCTTCTGATTGGCCAACATGGCTTTACGGTTGAGAACCTGTTGGTTTGGCATGCTCTTGACAGTGCTTCATAGCATGCGTTTGCGTTTTTGTGTGGACAGAGATTTTTTTAAAAACGGAAGAAGGAAAAAAAAATTATAAAAAATACCCGTGTACGTATAGACATGGCCTGAGGGAGCAAAAAAAATCCAAATACTGAGAAAATCGCCTTTAAAGTTGTCCAAATTAAGTTCTTAGCAATGCATATTACTAATAAAAAATTAAGTTTTGATATATTGATGGTAGGAAATGTACAAAATATCTTCATGGAACATGATCTTTACTTAATATCCTAATGATTTTTGGCATAAAAGAAATATATATATACAAAGTTCTTAAAAATGATAATCAAAAATAACCCCTTTGAAACAGCTGAATAAATTTATTAAACCTTGTCTTTTGGGATTTATCACAATGTATTTAGTTGTTTCAACATGATTGTTTTAGTTTTATATACTATGTAATATAATGTAATAATAAAATAAAATAAAATATAATTTTACACAAAAAATGTGTGAACTTATGTTTATGAATCATGATTTTATTGTTTTAATACATGCATATGCACTGTTAGTGAATGAGCCCAATGAGAAGAACAGTTGGTCTTGCTCAATATCACTTGAGACGTAACCTCTTCCAGTAAGAATTTGCTCACTGATTCTGTCCAGTAACTCTTCAAAGGAGCCCGTGTTGTAGATCTACTTTTTTTCCCTCAAGCTGTTTCCCTCATCTGCCACAGATGTGCCACGGAGGTTGAGAGCTTGAGAGGGTGAGAACTGACCCACAGCACTCGGAGGTGCGGACACATCGCTCTGAACTCCGTGCCATGGGCGGAAAGAGTCTTGGCATTCCTCTAGTGGGTGATAATGTAATGAAGTGAGGGGAGGGTTCTGAGAGTGCGATCTCTCTGGCCTCTGTTTTTCTGGCCTGTGCACTCCCTACTGCCTGAATAAACACAAATGCCAGGCTCAAACATATCTACTAAAATAAATATACAGACTGGTCCAGGACTTTCACCACAGATGCTGACCACCCTCCTTGAGGATCTCCATACATCAGCTGTGTGTTACGTAGCTTTGGCCAAATGTGCTTGAGTTTTGAAAATAAATCTTCAAATTCAAACTCTTGCTTCATACTCACGTCAACAATTTATGATTTAAAATCTCTCTTTTTTGTCTTTTTATGGTTTTCCTTGTGTAACTTGTTTTTCAGCTTGCACAATCAGTATCTTCTCATTTACAGTATATATTTGATATGAACTAATATACACTACCAATCAAAAGTTTGGGGCTGGTAAGATTTTTAAGTCACTTATGCTCGATGAATTTATTTGATCAAAATACAGTAAAAGCAAAAGTCAAATATTATAACGGTTTAAAATAGCTGTTTATATTTTAATATAATTTGAAATGTAATTTATTTCTGTGATGGCAAAGCCAAGAGTAATTTTAAAGTAATTTCACCATTACTTCATCTTCTGATTGACTGTGATTATGTCACTTTCTTGTTCTTGTAGAAAGAGGTTATGCCAATAAATTCATATCTGTATCTTTTCAGCTTCACGGCTACATGGAGAGTGAGCCTCTGACCCTACAGCTGTTCATTGGGACAGCAGACGACCGTCTTCTCCGGCCTCACGCCTTCTACCAGGTCCACCGTATAACCGGGAAGACCGTGTCCACACCAAGCCACGAGGCCATACAGTCCAACACCAAAGTTCTTGAGATTCCTCTGCTGCCCGAGAGCAACATGAGGGCCATGTGAGTATACGTGCACATCTCAGAAAGACACTAAGAAACAGGAAAAACACAGAGAAACATCCAAGCCCAGTGGGGGGAAATGTTTGTACATCATAATTATGTATATCCACATGCATCCTGTGCATGTTTCCTGCAATAAACAACATTGATTCTTTAGACACCCCTCCGTTTTACCGCCGATCCTCCTGTTGTGAAGGCAGTTGCTAAGCAGAAGTGTGTTTTTTGTGTGTGTAAGGAGTCCCAGTGCCGTGGGTTTCCCTTGTATGAGCTCCAGGGCTCGTGTTACAGGAGGCCTCTGGTCGCGTGGAGCCTGTAATGGCGCGCTGGGGTCTGTTCTGCAAGCCAGGCGGTAGCGGTCTTACCAGCTCAGCATTTTTGTCCCGCTCTATAATGGATGTAACACTTAACTTATACAAAAAAACCACACACCCCTCTGGATCTTGTTTCAGAGCTTTCTGGGGAGCGTTCTCGCTTTGTCACGTTTCTGTAGTAAAGCCAAAAAATGGTTATGTCCCTGTGTCAGTGCAGTTTAACCAATTTTAAACTCTTTAGTATTTCATTTCACATTTTGATTGGAGAGAAAATGCTGTTTTTACTTTGTATGTAGAGTTCAGTTTGGAAGGCTGGAAGCTCAACACGGGCAGTTGTTTTGGAAAAGGAATGATGGCTTGCTCTATTATAGTAGCTGTATAATTAATAATTTGGTAGGCTTATATAATTCAGTTTATGATACAGTTTATACTTATTTTATATGTGTGTATTTTTATTTTATATTACATCTAATTTACATCTTTTAAATCATTTAAATTTTCCTCTAAGATCAGGATGACACCTAGAACACAATGTGCTCATCCTCACCACATACACATGGAAACGTTAATATCTGACATTCCAGTGTCTGTACAGCATTGACAGATTACTCGTATTCAGTGATTGTTTCTCCGTTTTTTTCAGATTTCCTGTTTTTGCCTAAAAAAGTAAGCTTTAAGGATCATTTCACTCATGTGCAACTTAAATAAAGGGCCCTAAATGTTTCTTCGATGCAAAACTTTGACAGGCTTTTAAATAACTATTTACTTGCGTTGGCTTGAAGGATTTGAACATTTAATGGAGAAAGTAAACTTTTCATTGATTTTTTAACAACATCTCTGCCATGTCAGAAGCAGAAATTGGAAGAGGCGAGAGAGAAAGGGCATTTATTTATGCAGTGCAGAATAAGGGCCAGGCGTAATTTTGGCAGAAATGGTACAAAAAAATTCAGGCAATAAATTAAACGTTTACTCTGTTCCGATAAACTGTTTATTAAACAGCTGTCTAACGATATTTACAGCACATTTTTGTACTTCTGAAAGGATTTGTTGATTCCTAAAACATTAACATTCTTTTTGTGTCACAGAATCGACTGCGCTGGAATTCTCAAGCTGCGTAACTCAGACATCGAGCTCCGGAAGGGCGAGACAGACATCGGACGGAAGAACACGCGTGTGAGGATGGTGTTCCGTGCCCACATCAACCAACCTAATGGCAGGATGGTGTCCTTACAGGTGGCATCTAACCCCATTGAGTGCTGTGAGTCATAATAAATGTTTTTCTCTAATACACATTGGCCACAATTAACGGCACTCTTTTATTCAATGCTTTTGAAACCTCCATTTGCCAGTTTAAGAGCTCTAAATTTTCTCTTATAATGCCTGATGAGGTTAAAGAACACCTGACAAGAGATCAGAGTCCATTCCTTCATCTAGAATCTCTCCAGATCCTTCAGATTCCCAGCTCCATGAGGGTGCTTCTCCTCTTCAGTTCACCACACTCATTTTCTATAGGGTTCAGGTCAGGGAACTGGAATGGCCATAGGGCTGTGAAAATTAATCTGTATTGTTAATCCTTTTGATCTTTTATTTAAAAATTTCACATAAATCTAACCTTTCATTGGATAATAAAAATTTTAAATGGGGGGAAATATCATTATGAAATAAATGTTTTTCTCTAATACACATTGGCCACAATTAACGGCACTCTTTTAGTACTTCTGAAAGGATTTGTTGATTCCTAAAACATTAACATTCTTTTTGTGTCACAGAATCGACTGCGCTGGAATTCTCAAGCTGCGTAACTCAGACATCGAGCTCCGGAAGGGCGAGACAGACATCGGACGGAAGAACACACGTGTGAGGATGGTGTTCCGTGTCCACATCAACCAACCTAATGGCAGGATGGTGTCCTTACAGGTGGCATCTAACCCCATTGAGTGCTGTGAGTCATGCCACTAAATCTCACTAAGTCCTTTTTTTATTTGGCTTTTTTAAATTCATTGTGACTAACATTGCATTAGTTTATACTTTTTATCAGTTAATTAATTTCCTGACCTTGCTAGCATTATGCTGTACCGACAGGAATGTTGTAATTAGATGGATTGAATCAATAAATCAAAGACAGATTTGACTTTTTATATACACACTTTTTTTTTGCTCTGATAACTGCCAGGACTGATTAATTGCTATAAGGTAAATGAGAAATATCACTAGAAAATGAGTAATGAGTAAATGAGTAAAAAATGTGAGTAATTTCTGGGTTAAAGGTTCCAGTTAAAGGGAGAACATGAATGAAAGACATATGAAGCCTATGTCAGGTAACATTTTCAAAAGCACCGACTGAAAGTACAGACTGAACTACCATATTTATATATATAATATATATAAATAAAATTATATATATATATATATATATATATATATATATAGTC